AACTCTCGCATTATTGTTACGACACCAACCAAACTCAGCCTCTCCGCAGCCACTTGTGTGTCCATCTGTTAGTCCCCAAATTATGGATCCAATTCAGTAATCAATGAAGCAAATAGCAATCAAAATGAAGTGTAGAAGGAGTAGAAGAAAGATAACATCAAGCATGCACACATCTATAACATAAATGTCAAGTACACCTTGAGAAAGTACACCCACTGCACTGTTCAACAACAAGTACAATCTGACACGACTCAGCTCCAATAAATAGTACCCTCACCAGCACACGAGTGTGCAGCCATACACGCGTGTGCGGCCTCACACACAGTGTGCGGCCGCACACACGTGTGAGGCTGCACACATACATCAAGTTTAAATCACTACACTGCCACACAAACACTGTTACCCTAATAAGATCTATACAAAATTAATGCCTTGCTCAAACCACAATATTATGGACTTTCAGTCTCCCGCTTGGTTTGAGGCTAGCATAGTCTTGATCTTCATTCATTTGGCTTCTCAGCTGGCTTCTCATACATCTTTAGATCCAATCTTCCCATCGATCCCATCCACTTCCTTCCATTAATGATTGTAGCCACCATTGCAGTGAATTCTTTAGCAGTAGCTTCCATGACGTCTTTCCTGCAAATAATCTGGTGACGAGCCAGAGTCCGGATATCCCTCTCTCTGAATCGAAGAAGATCTTTGGCGCTTATCGACCTCAAAACTTGTTCCCGATCCTTAAATTTGATAGCCGCAGTCGCAGTTTCATCATCAAAAGCCCAAAATTCCATTTTATCAAGATATCCCTCCTGGAAGTGTTGAGGGATAGGAATTTCCTTCTGCTGTTTTGTAGCAGGCCAAAGAATGATCTTCATGGGTTAGCCTGATTCTGGATCAAGAACTTCTTTATCTTTTTCGTATAGGGCTCTTGCAGTCTTCATCTTGGAGAAATTTTCTTTGACTTGCCTGTCAAGAAACCTCTTGAAGTTTGATGCACTTGGATCTTCTAATGGATTGTGGAATGGGGCCCTGGATAATTCGGGTAGATCAATTTTGGTCCATCAGTTGAAATCGTGGGTGCTTTTGTAAATCTCAGAGGCTCCTGAGTTTCGTTTTACAACCCAAAAATTTATCTCTGGATCAAAGGCCCACATTCGGATTCCGGACCTGTCTCCAAACTCGTCACCGAACTTTCTTTTCTTTAAATCCGTCACGATCAAAACAGGGTCTTTTGCCTTGCGATTCTCATTAGAGTTTTTCATGAATAGAAGACCTTCGCTTTGGTTGGCTGTTACAGTTCTTTTGCTGTGACAACCCGAGATTTTGAGACAATATAATGTAACACCATTCAAATTTAGGTCGAAATTTAACTTTCCTAAAATCTTATTTGGGCAAAACCAGGCAACACCTATTAAGTGAAAAACGCAAAGCTTTAATACAATAATTTTTAGCCTTAGGTATCTAAACGAAAGTCGTAGATTACGTTAAACCGTGATCATGAATAAAAAGAACGCCCAAAACCGACTTCGAATGAAGAAGTTACAAATATTCTAAGTTTCGTAACAGCGGTAGACAGCTAAAAACTCGAAATAAAGATCGAGCGATTTTTAGCCGATACAACTTAAACGAGAGTTGAAGTTCTCGACAATAATAGTTCGATGGTAAAAAGACAAACGAAAAAGGGCGTCGGATAAAGAAGTTATGGATTTTAACGAAGTTATCGTGTCTCGGCCTATTAATTAAAATATAATTAAAAATAACTTCGAAATTAGCCGACAAAGTCTAAATGAAAGTTGTAGAGTATTTTCTCACCTTCGCATGGATATAAAGAACGTCAAAAACGGAGCCCGTATGCGAAAGTTACAGATTTTACAAGTTCGTGGCACACACACCAAAAGGATTTACGCCCAGCGTACCCTCGTACGCCCAGTGTACTCGGATGCTAGGCTCCGAATTGTCCACGTCGACCAAACACTTTGCCCGAGGATGTAGTCAGCAGTGATACAAGAGAACGCCCAGCGTAACGTCGGAGTACGCCCAACGTACGAGGTACGCCCCGCGTAAGCCCGAAGTACGCCTAGCGTACGAAGCCTCTCCCACCCCTATAAATAGAATGCGAGGGTGCCGGCCATCCATGCTCATTTTCTTCATTTCACTCACATTTTCACCTCGTTTTTCTTGCCAACAATATCCCGACTTCCTGGTTTCATATCTAAGCCCCGACGAAGGTCCGAAGCCCCGAGATTCCCGTCACTTTGCGATCGAGGTGCCGCCCGAAGAAATCTCGTTTTCTTCAAATCACGCACTTTCTTCGGTGAGTTCATACCCCTACAAAGTACATTTTCAAATATGTTATCAATGCTTTTTATACACTTTTAAGGGGGGGGGGGGGATACAAGTAAACACACGGTTATTATCATGTGTAACCTAAAGTTTCATTATATACTCTTTTTATCAAGTAAACCATATGTGATTCATAACTACTACATGGAAACTTTCATACACAAAATATATCACGATAACATCTTGTCTTTTTAAATTAAATATGTTGTTATACATATACGAATCAAACACTTTATTTATACTTTGAGTATATGTGTTCATTTATGTCACTACAAAAGTTACACTTTACATAACGAGTGAGCATTTCACTAGGGTTTACTATACAAACAAAACAAAATTTTGGAAAAACTATAATAGTTTACGACAAACATTTTTACATGTTAAAAACTCTTTATCAAACTGTCTTACATACTTTATGATTCCGTTCAAACGTTGTTAGAATCATGTTTCTAACAAAGGTCTTCCTATATTTAAAACTGTTCTTATCAAACAAACTGCTTTCAAATCATTTTATAAACTGACATCAAGTCATCATTTCTTATTTATTACACTTTTCAAAGGTTTTACAAAACTTCTTTTATATTTTTGTATTGGAAAATGCATGCCTATATATGTATAGTTATATAAGTAATGTTCGAAGGACTTAGGACGGCTAGCTCGCTTTATTTCCTTTTCCTCGTTGGGATGTGGCCTTAGGGCATAGGTTATTCGTCCGAATGTCGTCTAAATATTAGTTATATATATATATATATATATATATATATATATATATATATATATATATCATTTGTACATATATAGACATAAAAGTTTCCGTCATTTGGTTCAGTACCTTTGAGTAGCAAAGGCATATTTCGGTTATACACATACACTACTAGAAACTATAATAGGTATAGTTGGGAGATACTACTTACCATTCAAAGTACAAGGGATCACACAAGAGTCAGTTTATTCACGAGTCAATACAAATACATTACATACTATATGAAGAGATATGATTACATACAATTACAAGGCATACAATTTCAAGACATACAATTACAAGAGATACGATTACATAAGATAGTGTACTAGATATTCATGAAATTTTACATACTACAAGTACCATATCAAAGAGATATTTTCATATACAAGAACAAATGGACATTTTCATACATAAATCTATTTTATACTAGGTTTTGTGAGACATTTCACGTACTTTTGAGTATGCATTATTAAGTCCTGTATTATATACCATAATCCCTTGTAGGGGGAGCGTGATACTTGTGTATAGATCTATACGGGATTGACAATCCCGCACCTAAACTGTTAGCTACAGTTAGATCAGTAGGTCTTGGGTGACAAACGTCATAACATTCCAACGCCTGAAGAACGTTGTTACAGGCAGTCTGGGTCATTAGCATGGTTATAAAACTCACATGGAGTATTAAAAACACGTTGATTTACGGGGTTATCAAATACCTTAGCGATTATATACGTACACAAATCTACTATTTTAGACATGAAAAACACCATGGTAGTTCATTTTTGGGACTTTTAAACTACCACCCACTTATAAACAAATATTGGATTTCTGAAGCAAACATTCAAAATAGTCGGGTCTTGGTAGAAGGCTACATTTTATACTAGTAGATAATATGGGATTTTCTAGGGTTTTCAAACGTTTACAATTACTTACAAACATGTTCATTGGTATAAACTTTCCTTCAAACATTTACAGGTCTTCCTTTATAGCTTTACACATCAAAGTCACATAAATACTTATGAATTCACTAGCATTATTGCTGATACTCGCTTTCAAAATAACTTGTATTCCCAGGACACAAATAGATAGGTACGACTACCAGGTTCTGTGAAGTCGGAGCGGTCAAGACTCGTCTTTTATTTTGAATATTCATTTTGTAGAATTATACTATGAAAGAACTCAAATGTAATTAAAATTATACTATTAATGCAATGGATGATGCTGTTGCTTGTTTACTACTTTGCATTGTTGTGATACATTACATGACGTCCTCCGCCCCAGAATATTTCCGCCGTTCTCGGTTTTGGGGTGTGACATTTGCCCTGTTTGATCGTTATTCTGGCTTTGCTTCCTTCCGGTTCTTTTTCAAATCTATTGACAATAGTGGTTGTTCTTGGAGCAGGTGGATTGATAGGAAGATCATCAGATGCAGAATGTGAGTGGGCTGTGGGAGGATCATCGATTCCATGTGGCTGTTGGAAAAGAGCCTTGACTCTGTCTCCAAAAGCATCATACAAAACGTTCTTGAGATTGAAGTAATTGGCTATCACTGATCCAAGACTCGTTTGTAGATCTTTAATCTGTTTGGTTTTCTCTTCATCCTTCGCTCTGAGCTCTTCAATGTAAGAGGTGATTTGATACATCTGAATTATCTTTTCAATAAATTCTTGATGGAGGATCCCAATTTCTTTACGAAGTTCAGTCGAGGAAGATTTGCCATCACCTGTGCGCTCCTCTCCAAATGATATTCCTTTGCCACGAGAGGAGGTTGGACTGTGTTGGCCAGGTGTTTTGCCAACCTTATAGAATCTTCATCTAATGAAGGTCTGGTGGGAGAATAATTTGGAATGGATGATGAGTCACCAGTCTCAAACATAGTACTCGAACCTTCATCAGATTATTTTGGTGGAGACTAAGCAGTGGTAGTAGTGACTGTGGAAAAAACTTGAGGTGCACTGCCCATAGTGGGTACCTCCAAACATGCAAATGATTGACTTGTTTCCATAGAAAACTGAGAGGTCTGGGGCTGAGTTGAATCAAGAACAATTGGAGCAGATGTTGAGATGGATGACACAAAGGAAGGAATCTCTGATGTCACATCTCCTTGGCTTGATGCGACCTCCATGAGCTTTGATGTAGAGAGCAAAATCTTGAGAAATTTTCCTTCATCTCTAGTCTTGGTTGCTGAAGATGCAACTTCATCGACTTTATTAAGACAGCTACTAGGGATTCCAGGAAAAGGACCGAATTCTTCATCATCCAGATCAAATTCTATATTTATCAGGATGTCATCACTAATGCCTGTAAAATCAATTTCCTTCAAAAACTCTACGTCACCATAAAGATCATCATCATCTTCCTCTTGAGCAGATAGTGTTTCATCTTCTTTTTGATAATCATGTTCTTCAGCCACAATGGCTGTAGGAGAATCATGAATCTCCTCAGCTTCTGGCTCAGAGGTTGAATGTACAATGTCTTCAGATTCCATAGGGATGGATTGCTCTCCTGATTCTGATCGATCACTCTCTTCAAAGATTCCGAATTTTATCAAAGGGAAATTTCCCTCAAAAACGAATTTCCCACCTCTCTTCTGTTTCATTAGCCCAAAAGAACTTGGACCAACGAATTTGAGATCCAAGGTTTCGTTTCCCCTCCGCAGCTCGGGATGCATTACATTGAAGATGATTTGAAACAATCTTGGGTACATCAAGAACTTATCCCTCTTGTTCCCTTCAAGGTTTAGAATCAACTCATGCATTATGAACTTGGAGAAGTTGAATTCAAATCCTGCAGCCAAGGCTGTGATTGCACCAGTGTTAGCCAGGGAGATTTCATTTGCACCGGATCTCCTGCCGGAAATACAGCTTACAAACAAGTAGGCCAGATATTTCCAACAAGGAGGAAGCAGCTTCTTGATGGTAGGGGAAAATTTCCCTCGTACCCCATGTGCTCTAAGACATCCTGGGTTTGATGAATGTTAATCTCCATAGTGTACTCAGATCTGTCGTCTATTTGGAGAGATTCCCGAATGATGTTCTCTGTTACTTGAACTTTCTTTCCTTTAATTGTCACTTCAATGGACTTCTCCAGAAATCCTTGATCAGATTCTGGTAAATTGCAGGGCATGTGGTGAATGCATGGACCAAGCAAGACTTCTTCAAACCATCAACAATGAACTTTAAGTCATTCTGAGCTACATGAGGGTCTTCAAGAAAAATGGAAGAGTTGTGAACCTTAGCAAACTCCAGATCGACCATCTTAACTGGAAAGGAAACACAAGCAATCAATAGGGCAAAATTAATTTTGGAGATGGTGCAATCGCACATGAAAGTGCACACAGCCGCACACGTGCAAGTGTGCAGCCTCAGCCGCACACACTCAGCCGTTCACAATTCAGTGTGGCCGCACACGGTTCAGCCGCACACGCCCGTGTGCCGCTGCACACACCGTGTGCGGTCATACTTGCATACGAAACAATAGTTACTTCGATTAAACAGCAAACGATGATCCATTTTTCATAAAGAAATCGTTATTAGAGCCGTGTTCATGATAATTACCAGGTATGTGCTTTGATTTCAAGAAAAATGTTGGAATATTCAAAGTGTTAGAGAGAGAGAGAGAGAGAGAGAGAGAAAGTTGTGTGTGCGGTTGAGACAAGAGACAAATGGAAACAGTGTCAGTGAAAGACTCACCGCACACACCCTATATATACATAAAATATTTTCATTTTCTCCCCCTCAATCTTTTAATAATTAAAAACCGATACCCTTACTCAATCATTTTTCAAAAACAAACCATTTTGAGGATTAAAGGACTAAAATTTATTATTCCTAAGGATTTAAAAATAAAAACTAAAAGTAAACTTATAACTAAGATAAAAAAAATAAAAAAGAATAGAATAGACTAAAATAAAATAAAATCTAAATACTATTAACGACAAAGAATTAAATTTTAATTTTAATCCTATATAAATTGTTTTAACCTTTTGAGATGAGGGATCAAAGTTCTTAGACAATCGTTGTTCATTTATCAGTTCCTTCTCCTTCATGAATAGATCTGGTCGATCGTCGGTATTGTGGTCCACTTAAACACGAAAAATTTTGTGACAAATTTGGACATGCTATAAATGACAAGACAGATTGACCCTAAGTTACTAGATAAAATTCCTAAGGACCATCTATCTGACGCCGACTAAGGATATTATTGTCCACCTAAATTGAGCAGCGAGATCTACAGATAATCTAGAATTGTTCAATTTTAGATGTGCTAGAACGTGTTTCCCACTTCCTGATATACGCTAATAATCAGGAACTTCCGAGATACTCCTTACTTTAGATGAGCAGACTATTTTTCAAAGAGTGAAGAGATTTGGATTATAATTCATTATAGAATTAGAAGGATTAAGAAGTAGCAGGTTGCATATGCTGTGTACCAGGTCGGATTGTTAATCGCGCAATGGAGACAGCATATGGCTAACAGACAAGAAGAATTTGATAGATATAATATGCAGAGAAATAGATTTGAATATGTTGCAGTCTAGGTCGAATCTCTTCCAATCACGTAAAGGAGGAAACATATGACTGACTGTAAGAAAGAAAGAAAATAATTTTCTACATAACTACTTTATCGGAATTCCCCAGTCGCTCCGTCAATACCGAAATTAAGGACATAATTCGTACATCGAGGAAAAGTTAAACCACAGTTCTAGATACAGGTTCTCTTAATGTGACTGATGGATTCTCATGTATATCTCCCTGCTCAATCTATCCAAGCGTCGTATTGTCAGGCTAAACGGAACTATCTAGGTCAATATTTATCAACTCTCTAGATTCCTTAAGTTCATCTACACCTAGTCAAGTCCGTTAAATTTTTCATGCCTACCTCCGCAACGAATACAGAGCCTAGACAGTCAAGTTTTGGTACTTTACACAGACTCAGATTGCGCGTTATCACTTTTTAATATCACTTCCCAAATCATATCATAAAACACATATATTTTTTTAATTTCTGTATTTCTAATGTTTTTGGATTTTTTTAATTTTCTGATGTTTTTTTGATTTTCTAATTTTCTGATGTTTTTGGATTTTCTAATTTTTTAATGTTTTTGGATTTTTGATTTTTCTCCCCTTAAATTTGTGCATAAAATAAAATGAAAAAATAATGTGCAAATTTATCCTAAACTAAACACTAAAAAAAATTAACCCTCAAAACGGATCATTTTCAGAAAATTAACCAGCACATCGAATCGAGCTTCGTTAAACGGCTTGGTGAACAAATCCGCTACATTATTATCATAGTGGACCTGTTCGAGCCGAATGAGCGAACACTCATAACATTCTCTGATAAAATGAATTTTGATGTCGATGTGCTTGGTTTTTGAGTGTTGGACCGGGTTTTTGGCAATTTGGATCGCAGCCTCATTATCACATAAAATAGGGGTTTCTTGAAAATTCAAACCGTAGTCCAACAGCTGATGTTGGATCCAGATGACTTGAGAACAATGTCACACCCCCAAACCAGAATGGCGGAAACATTCGGGGGTGGATGACTTCACGTAGTATCACAACCATTGAATATTGTAAAGAAAGTAACACAACCATCACATATATAATGAAAACGTTTGTTGTTGCGTTATACATATTAGCAAAAGAATATTACAATGAGATAATAAATGTTCAATAATAAAACATCCTTAGTGTTCCCTTCTCCAAAAGCTGGTGGTTACCTGTATTACTGATTCCCTGAGAAATACAAGTGTTTTCGAAAAAGTGTCAACAATTAAGTTGGTGAGTTCATAAGTGTTTTGCATTGAAAAGTATGTCCTTTTTGATAGTAAATCAATGAACGAGGTTTTCAGAAAATCCAATATTTTCTATAAAAGATTTGAAAAGTTTCCCGTGTTGGAGCGCGTTTGTGTTTTCCACACTTGAATAATAATGATAAAATTTGTGTTAACAATAAGATGGAAAACTGAAATGCATATATGAATCTCATAAATCAAACTTGTTTTTATACTTTTATGTGAGTTTTATAACCATGCTATTGACACTGATGGCCTGTAACAACGTTCTTCAGGCGTTGGAACTGTTATGACATTTGTCACCCCAGGCCTGCCGGCCTAGCTGTAGCTAACAGCTTAGGTGTGGGATTGTCAATCCCATATAGATCTATACACAAGTATCACGCTCTCTCTCCAAGAGATTATGGTATATAATACAGGACTTGAAATGCATACATACGAGTACGTTGAAGTTTAAATGTCTCACATTACTTGGTATAAACAGATTTACGATAATAAAGACTTTACTTCTTTTGAAAGCATTTCATTTGTCGAGATGTATATGTAAAATGTATGAATCACTTGAATACTACACTCATTATAGTTTCTCAAAAGTATGTTTCCATTTGGAAATAACAACTTGGTGATATAATAGCCCTTTAAACATAAAGTTATTTTTGTATCAAAACTCTATAAGAACGATATTATAAAAATGATACTTTGATTTGTAATGTACTTGTATTCCCCCCCTAAAACGTGAAAAGAATTGAAAAGTAGGGGTATGAACTCACTCGTTAAGTTTGAAAAGAGAGGCTAGGGTTGAGCAGAACTTCGACCGCGGATGGTTGCGTCGTCGGGCTCTTCGGGGATCCCTGCAGTGTAAATCTTTCGTCGGGGGCTCGAGTGCGGAAACCAAGGTAAGAAAATGGTCTCTGCAGCTGGGAGAATGGCTGAGAAATGGTGAAGGTGTGCCTAAACTCGAAGTTTATGCCTTCTATTTATAGGGCTGGAAACCCTCGTACGCGGGGCGTACTCACGTACGCAGCGCATACGTCGTTACGCTGGGCGTAAAAATGCGTCATGGCTTACGACTCGAGTCTAGCTAAGCGTAGCTTGGGCGGGCCGATGGGACTCGACTCTGGGTCTAGTACGCGGGGCGTACTCCCAGATTACGCGGGGCGTAATCCCTGCTTCCGACTTCTAAATTCCGTAACTTTCGCGTACGAGCTCCGTTTTTCGCGTTCTTTATATCCACGCGTAGGTGAGATTATGCTCTACAACTTTCATTTAGACTCCGTCGGCTAGTTTTGACTTTATTTTTAATGATATAATTTTAATAGGCCGAGCCTCCTAAAGCTCGTTAAAAATTTATAGGTTTTTTATTCGACGTCGGTTTTTGTTTGTCTTTTTATCGTTTTATTACTACCGAGGAGATCTTCAACTTTCGTTTAGGTGGCGATAGCTAAATAACACTCGATCTTCAATCCGAGTTTTTAGCCCTCTACTACCGTTACGAAACTTTGAAAATTCGTAACTTCTTCATACGAGGTCCAATTTGGGCGATCTTTTTATGCACGTTCACCTTTCAACGAGATCTACGACTTTTGTTTAGATACTTAAGGCTTAAAATGCATTTTATTAAGATTCTACTTTTTACGTCAAATATTGTTTTAACGTCGTGTCGTAAATATACGAGTGGTTATAATTTCTTCAATATAACCCGGTTTTGAGCGTTCTTTATGTTTTTGGAAACCTTGGCATGATATCTAATATTCGATGCATCCCAACTTAGATACTTGAACACTTTATTTTCGTGGTACTTAGCTTTCGAGTGTTACAATGCTTTTGGAAAATATAGGGTTGTCACATCATCCCCTGTTAAGGGAATTTCGTCCCGAAATTTAATCCAAGATAGTGTTTACAGTTTTAGGAAAAATATGCGGGTACTTTTGTTTCATCTGATCCTCGCGTTCCCAGGTGTATTCAGGTCCTCACTTGGCATTCCAGCGGACTTTTACAATGGGTATGCGGCTTTGTTTAGTCCTTTTGATTTCTCGATCCATGATCTCTACTGGTTCCTCCACAAATTGAAGGTTTTCATTTATTGCAATTTCATCTAGAGGGACGACAAGGGTCTCGTCGGATAAGCACTTCTTCAGATTCGATACGTGAAAGGTAGGGTGTACGTTGTGGAGTTCCTGAGGTAGTCTAAGTTTGTAGGCCACTGGACCGATCCTGGCAAGGATCTCGAATGGTCCGATGTATCTAGGGTTCAGTTTTCCACATTTTCCGAAGCGTATTAAACCTTTTCAAGGTGAGACTTTGTGTAGGACATGGTCTCCAACTT